CCCCAAAACCCCAAAACCCCAAAACCCCAAAACCCCAGTAGTGTTTTTGGAAATTGAGAGGGAATTTGTGGATAAAGTAAATTAACACACTTCGAGTGTTATTAATATTCTTAAAGGTAATCAAAGCTTTTGGATGCATCTATGGAATCAGATTTAGGTTCTTCTTCTTGGCTGTCTTCTGCTTTGTAGTTTAGAATTCTGCTTTTGAACTTGCTCGGACTTTTAAACAGTCGAGGCTTACAAATGCTATTTGGAAGAACAAGTTTTTGAGTCTGGGAATGGAAACACTCGACTTCTCTTTGGATCTCTCCCTTGAGTTTTCGTGGCCATTGTATAATTCTTGTTTATATTGGCGCCCCCTTTGTTGCTGACTCCTGCCCTATTGGCTTCAGAGTTATTTCTGTGTCTTTTTAGCATGAGTGAGTGTGGCTTGATCATTCAAGACTGGACTCGTTTCGATGAGAAACGCCACTTTTTGTTGTAGCACTTTGATGTCTTTGATAATTTGAACTCAGTCGAGGTTGTTTTTGAATGAATCGTAATCAAGAAATTTTTCAGATTCAAAAGGCATTAGTTTCTCGAGGATGGATTTATGTTTGGAGACTGAAGGTTCTTTTTGTTTCATTTCATCATTGTTATTTACAAGAATTTTTGTTCTGGACTGGTTATTTATTGTCTTACTTGAGGAGAAACCTGTTGGAGAATTATTTTATTGGAGCTTTCATAAAGTTTAGACTCTTCATCAAATCTGAGTACTTGATCTTGAAAATCTTTTAATCTAAAAATAATAAATAGTGTAAGAATAATTAAAGAAAGGCATATTTTATCAATCCACAACACTTGTTTTTCTCCAACTTACTCTTCATCTTGATCAGCTTGATTAGGCTCCTTCTTTGTATTTGATTGTTCATTATTACCTTCGTGAAGCACTCCCTTAATCTGCTCCACATCATGACTAGCTTGGTTGAGGTACTTCGTAAGGTCTCGCTTGAACATGTATGAAGAATAGATCCCAATGGCAAAGCCAAATATGATCTCAACGAGTTCGAAGATACCTCCAATGGTTCCTGTAACTTCTAGAAAGGAGAGGAATTTCCTCCTATATTGTCTGACTTCGTCTCCCATTTCTACCACAATTTTGAATTCTTTTCTATGTAAAGTCAATTAAATTACCAATGAATAGATTCCACTAAACATCAACCCAGTTCCCTCTCATAAGATGAAGCTAAATAAGTCTTGAAACCCAAAACAGCTTAATCCAGAGATTCTCTTGAAGATCTACACATCCAAATTTGACACAAAGGTGTAAAGGAATAGAGCTGAAATCTAATACGGCTGAGGTTTTCTATTAGCAAGAATTCTTTAAACCTATAGCCTGATGAACTTAAGCTGGACAATAAGTAGAGAGAGGAAAGAAACATTCTAACCCTGATTCATTGACGGATTCATCAAGATTTTATTTAGGTTGGCTCAAAATGTCATTTCTCACTTAAGAATGAATATTCTAAAGCATTTGAAGGATTCTTGACTTAGGGTAAATTATTGAGAAATTAACTTTCTTGTCTTAGCTGAGATCTTGAACCAATACTTTGAGATCGTTTATTTAAAACAGATTTTAAATATGAGAAATTCGAAGAGATTTAGAAGATACCTATGCAAAGCTGACTCTTGGTGTAGTTCCAATGTATAGAACACAATTGGGTTAGGTTCTGTCCATATTCTCCAGGTCGGCCAATATGAGTCTTCTAAGATTACTTCGTGTTTTATCAAGTTAAAATATGCTACCAATCCTCCTTCTGAGGTATTATAGAACTTATAGTTTGTTGTTCTGGATTTAAAGGGGTTGTCAATGTCATTAAGATCCACATATTTATTCTTCACAAACACATTTAAGCGACTGGTTTTGAACATTTCCTCCCATTCTTTAGTACTCAGACTCACACATCCAGATTTTCAAGGGTTGATAAAAAGAATCGATAAGTAGTGGCTCTTAGAATTAAGCTCATTGCCTGAGTACTGAAAACCTGTGAATTTTGGGCAAATGTATTTGACATCACTTCTGTAAGTGCCTCTGCTTATCAGGTCAGAGTCAAATTCTTCTCTTCAGTCATAAAATTGTAAATAACCTTTAAATATTTCAGGACGAAAAATCAGAAATATCTGTGTAGTATTTCTGCTGTTATCACTTCATGGATCCTTAAATATTTGCAGAAACTCTAACAAACTTTAGTAAGCCAGTCATTCTTGTTTGGAATTGGGATATTATATTCTCGCTTTATATTCCTGAACTTTAAAAGAGGATCTTTGGAAAATCAGAAGATTATTACCAGGTCTGGAATTATCTGAGTTTAACAGACTAAAAATCATACTTGAGATTAGCGACTTTTAATAAAACTCTTAAAGTAATATTTATAATGGGAAGAAAGGGCGTTTCCTTATTCTTATGTTTAATAGACAATATCAAGCATAATACAAATTGCTGTAGAAATAGTTATTTCGGTAGAAATAAGCTAGCTTACCCAATGTCATCATTTCTTTCTGTTTCCTCAAGGACTGGAGTTCCATGAGAAAAGTATTTCCCAGAAAATTTATAATTGTCATGGGATCTTTTTACATATTGAGAATAGCCTGGAAGATCGATTTCTTTAGGAAATGAATCAGGCTCTTCAAAACGGTAGTTTAGCATTATTTTTGGATGATTATCATCGAGCTCTAACATACTCTAAAATGAAAAACAATTAATCTTTAGAACAATAAAGATGGATGTTATATCGGAAAAATCTGAGATAATTACTCACATCGTCACTATTTAAGATCATTGAAATATGAATTGGTGCTCCAGTTGACTTCCCTCCGTTTAACCATTCTCAGCATCAAGGCTCCTCCATATGCCGCCAAAACAATCACCGCGAGCAGGGACACCAGAGCTCCCGGGACAGTGGCGTAGGAAGACCTTCCTTTAAGGGTGAAGAAGATGTTCTGCTGGAACATGTCCACTCTATGGTCACTATGAGGCTTACCTTCTGAACCTTAGACACATTTTTATTATTATTTACCCTTTCCACCTATTCGCTTATATAAGGGGTTTTGGGGTTTTGGGGTTTTGGGG